ACTGTCTTGAACCCTTCGGCAACTACAGTGGTTGATTCATGAATAAGTAATTAAAAAAAGAATCCTAACGTATGTGACAGATATGCTTTGTTTGATTACATACCCCTTGCCCACATCTGAGCTATTTCCAATCCTGGGGGGTGGCTTTACATAGATTCAGAACAGACCTTGTATAACTTCCAGTCCACGCACTTTCAATCTCTCCAGGTCACACATTGCATTCTGGTTCTGTCCTGTGTGATCTGCTTCTCCTTCAAATACAACGCTACCTTTGAACTAGACCAGAGCTGAATTCAATCTACTCCCCAAACCCCCCAAAACAAGCAGCAGCCATGCGGTGTGCAGAAAAGGTATTTGATTTTGTGATGTTGTACTCATGATGGAGGTCTAGAGGTCCCAGAAAAGGAATCTTGCCTTGGTAGAAAGAAGCAGGAAGTATCAGGGTTTGAAAAATTATATATTTTTCACCACAGTGATGGAATCAGCTCTGCAGACCACCTGGAAATGCTCTGCAGACTACTAATGATTCATGGCTTACAAAGTCTAAGATCTACTTCACTTTCTTCAAGTACACAAGGGGTCATATTCTGTCTCAGTAACACTGGGTGAAATCCAGAGTAAAACGACTGAAGAGAATTACTCTCAAATTGATGTTGGTGTAATGGAGACCAGAAGTTTATCTTAGATCGAAAAAATGGTTAGAAAATCTCATAAAGGGATCACTCCATTAAAATCTGGTGCACATATAGGAAAAAATATTGGACTAGATTCTCATTTGATGGAAACTGGTGTGGTTGCTCTGACTTCAGAGTTATACCAATGTACACTAACTGAAGATCTGGCCAGCCAAACTGCTCTGCTTCATAAGAAAATGAAATAAATTAAGACTTTGTAAAATTTGACTGAAGAACAAGAGCATACCCTTTCTTCTGAGGAACAAGGAAATTAAGTTTAAACAGGGGAAGACAGAAGAAAGTCAAGTCAACTTAAGAAGTTGTTTGGAACAATATCTGGTCATACAATCATCTGTAACCAAGGAAGAGGAAGCTTCTAACTATAAAGGGGTAATTTTCTAATTATACATCATGAGATAAGAATGTTACAAGGAAAACCAAAATCATTCCTATACTATTCTGTGTACATTTAAGCTGATCTATAACGTCATGATCATGAACGGGCAAATAAACCTATAAAGAGAAAGTGTCAGTTGGTAGACAGCATTCACTAGTTCTCAACCCAGCCTTTGTTTATCAGCCTAACAGGAAATACTGAATGGTAATTACGAACTCATGAGCCATCATACTGGATTCCATCTTATCCAGTTTCCTGCGGTCAATGCTGGCAGCTTCAGAAGAAAGTACAAGAACCACAACAGGAAAATTACAGAATAACCTGCTGACAGAGGACATTTCTTTCTAACTTGCTTAAATAGTAGCTGGCCAAAGCCCTGAAATTTTAGTGAATATCCCTTCCAACCTAGGAACACTTTCACCAATCCTAAAATAAGTGTAGATTTTCATTATCCAGTGAAATGTTAAGGTTATTTTGGAATCCTGTTAGGTTCTCTGTATTTTTGACATGGACAACTTTGGGGGTAGCTGCAAACTCACACGTTACACAGTTTTGCAAAATAAGGTAAGTGGAGAATGGAACGGGTGGGGGTGGGAAGGGGGAAGCATTGTGCCACTTAAGTAAATGATGCCAAGATTACACCCAATTTACCCATTCTCATTTTGCACATCCTGCAACAGAGAATATAACTGGAAATTGAGAACAAGAGTAGCCCTTGGTGTGTGTGTGAAAAATTCAATTACCCTGATTCCATGGTTCAG